AACCCCTCAAGAGTAAAACATTTGGAAAATCTACGTTTCTATTATTAAAATAATTTATACTAGAATAATTAAGAAATTAAACACAAATACAGAAATAACAACAACATATTCATCCTTTACTTATCAATTCTAGTGACTTTCTTAATTTTGTGCTAAAAAAGATGGATCATTAGGATTTGTGCTCTTATTATCATCTTCATACAAATATTAGTCTAGCAAGTCTGCCCTAGAACTAGCTATCATTTTCTAGACAGATTTTCTATTATCAAATTTATTAGTGCTAATTTTGTCAAAGGGGGAACCTACTGGAGATCTTACTCTCTCATTCTTCGCAAGGGTTCTCACATTATATTAATAATCTCTGCTATAATCTAGCTTAACTTTAGCTTGACTGTGATACCCTCTGTTTACTCTGAACTTAAATGATTTTTCACTAGGCATATAGAAGTACTTAAAGGAAAACACGCAGTTTTCATGCTAGGCACATTCAAATATAAACTCATACTTGCTTAATTCTCTAAGGTTTACATCACTATTCCAAACTTTTTTCCATTCCTTCACTCTTATCTCTATCTCCTAAATGCTTTTACAATTGGCATATGACTTAAGCTCATTCATTGCCTCTGGTTGAACTTTGAATCTCTAAGTTGGAGAGAGGCAACTGAGAATATTATTATGCTTAATCTTCATTGGCGATTTGTCTTTACTACTATCTGAACTAAAATATGGGGTTCTTGAAGATATCTAATTATTTTCAATAATAGAGTTTTACTGATTCTTCGTTTACTTAATACCAGCTTAATGGTTTTGTTAAACTGGAGGAGGTTTATTAACTTAGCCTAGACTGATTACGCTTTAATTTGAGTTTTAATTGAGAAACTAAATAGATTGAGATTTAGCTCCCAGTAAGGAAGTTTAGGAACTGATGTTCATTGAGTTGTTATTGTGTTCATCCAAGGAAACTTAATAGGTTTTGCTCAATTAGTCAAGTGTTTCGTTAGGAATATTTGATAGATTTTTCTTAAGTATTTTATCAATATTTGGAGTGTTTGTCTGCTAATGTTCTTATTCATTTAGCTTTGGGTGGATTATTTTCTAAATATGCTGATGCAAATTTTTTGCTGTCTAAGGAGACTCAATAATTGGACCACTCTAAATTTGCTTATGCTACTCTAGATAGTGCTCACCTATACTTTTTATAGTAAAATGCGAGTGCTCATGCACTAGATCCTCCTGGTAGTAAATATATCCATCTGCATCAAATATTAGAGGCTTGTCTAATATGTGCTCAAATTCTGAATCACCAAATTGAACACACTGGCAGTAATGATTGGTTTGCAATATGACTTTAATGTTATCCAGAACCGACAAAAATGCATGCCAGTAAGTTCTCACACTCATATTATACCCCTGGCAGTTCTTGAAACTTACATAAATACTGAATCTTCAATCCTTCTCCAAGTTTATTGTTATGTCATCTTGGTATTCCTACTATTGTGAGATTTGCTATTGATTTGCAATAGGCTGCTGGTGCATTCAATATTTAGAGAATAATATTTTTTTAATTATTTTAGATTCTTGAGAGTGATAATTTATTTTTTAAACTCAAACTTAAATTACTGATTCATAATGATGGGGTTTTGGGGTTTTGGGG